GGGGCATGGCCAGCAGCAGCTTATTTGGATTGAAAGTGACAAAGGCCCTAAAGCAGCTAAAATCTCATTTTTTAGGAGTTACTTTTTGCAAAAAATGTAATGAACATGATTTGCATAGACCACAGACCTATTCTAACTTGTTCAAGGAAACATGATAGGCCACCTTTAAAGCATCAGTGTGGAGGAAGTCAAGTCAATAGATGCGGAGGAAACAAAGTAGTTGAATTTTCTGCTTTCACCTGCAGATACAAGAAGAACCTGAAGACGCTCTACGTTGTCCATCCAACTAACTTCATCCGGATCGCTTGGAACATCTTCAAACCTCTGATCAGGTAAAACCTGCAGTTTCTGTTCAGCCGCCATCGAAGAGAAGTGTTTTCCCACCTGGTAGTCCGGTAGACTGTTCGATTGGGAACCAAAGTTGCAGCATTTGTTACATTTTCAGCTGCTGTGGTTCTTTTTCCTGGACAATTTTCAAACGAATGGGACTTTCTAGACAAACAAACTGGAGTTTGATTAAAGCAGACTAAACAGCTGGTGTGAATCATCCCTAAAAATAAAAATCCTCCATTTGCATCATCAGATCTCTCCTGTTTCTCTCTCAGTCACAAGTTTGGGAAGAAGCTGAAGTATGTGAACTACCTGGCAGAGCTGCGGGAACACCTGAACTACGACCAGCTCTTCATCCCTGCAGACGTCCTGAGGCAAGTTTCCTCCTCTGATCCAGGCTTCCTCTCCGTTTTCATCTTCCTCATCATGTTTCCGTTTCATCGCAGGCATGACGAGAAGCTGCGGGCGGCTCAGAAGGGCGGACCGCCCCCGCCTGTGAAGACACCGCCTCCCCGGCCACCGCTGCCCACGCAGCAGTTTGGGGTCAGCCTGCAGTAGTGAGTGGCTCATTAAGGTTGAGCTCATTAACCAATCAGCTCGTTAAAGCTGAACTCGTTAGTAACTCTGCTTCTGCAGCATCAGGGAGAAGAACCGCGAGGCGATCATCCCACCTGTCATTGCTCAGACTGTGGCCTACCTGAAGGAGAAAGGTGAGCCTCACCTGATCATATGACTTCCACCTGGATTTCCACCTGCCATCACTAAACGCTTAAGTTTTAGTGCAGCAGATAATTAAATATGCCAGAAAAATCTTTCACAGCAACCTACCTATTTGGGAAAATAACCTTTAGCCACTGAAAAATTCAAGATGGCGGCCAATATTCAAGGTTCTTGTCAAGGAAAATCTATTTTTGCACTACAACTACCAGAAGAATATTTTTGGTGTAAAATCATGCATAAGTAAACCCATAGAAATTATATTTTCTGAGAATTTTTTAAATCTCTTTTCAAGATGGCTACCATGGTTGTCATGGTGAATTAATTTTTGCACTAATTAGATGAATGTGTTTGTCAAATCATATTTTAAACCATAGAAATCATAGATATTCTCAGGGTATTGTTTTCTTTTTCTGGTGAGCATTTTCCAAAATGGCCACCTTGATTGTAATGGAGAATATATGTTTGCACTAAAAAAGGCGGTTGTTATTAGCAACAGCTAACCAAAATGTTGGGTTCAGTATCCAATAATTTGCTAAATAAGAACTGCTAAAAAATTAGCAGAAGCTAACACCACACTGTGAAACACAAAAAAACTAAACTGCTAAACATTAAAAAATGACTGGAAGCTAACGGTAAGCCTCTACACACATTAAAAATGAAGCTAACGCTAACCGCTAAGACAACTGGCTCCCAGTCCGAGACATCTTCATCTGATTCCAGTTGATAGCTGGTGACTTGCAAACAGCAAAGTCCTCAGTTTCTATTTTTTCCACATATTTTCACTTTAAAGTTTAAATAAAATGTTGAAAACATGTGATGTGACAAAGTTCATACAAGTTATGAAAATTGGTAACTTTTTATTATAATTGATTTAAAAAGGTCAAAACAGCTGCCATTTTGAAAAATGGTCATCATTGTGAAATATAAGTGAAATTAGCATAAAAAAAATTTAATTTTTATGTTTTCAAATTTGAGGGATTTCTGCAGTAACATGCTGCACTGTTTCAGGTCTGAGGACGGAGGGGATCTTCAGGCGTTCGGTTCGGGTTCAGACCATCAAGGAAGTCCAGAAACTCTACAACCAGGGTGAGCGGGGTCTCCTCCCCCAACCTGCAGGGGCCCTGCTCAGGCTGAACCTGCAGGAAGTCGCAGGGAAAATACCAGGAGTCGCTTTAATGAGACTTTCTGGAACTTTTCAAACATTCACATGTGTCTTTCTTTGAATCTCCTGGTTACGTTTCACAATTTTCTGATCAATCTTTTCTGTCAATGTTGCTTTCTTGGATTCTTTCCTGAAATCTTTTTACTCTGTGTTACTTAGAATTTGCAGATTACTTTGTTACAAGTTCCTTCTTGGTTTCGTAAATTTATTTTTTTTATTCTGATGTTCCTTTTTTGGATGCTTTTGTAAAACTTAGAGGGTGGTACTTTATTTTAATTAATTGGATACTTTGTTGAAACATTTAGATACAGGGTCGTTTACTGAACATTAGAGACTAATTTATTGAAGACCTGCAGTAAAGTTGGGCGATAAATTGAATTTTTGAAAAATTAGGATTTTCAGTAACTACTTGTTTGATAAATATGTTTTGTAGCTTTTTCCTGATTTTAATTAAGATCAACTTAAAATAAAATCAGATTTTTTTTCTAAATTACAAAATTAAAATGTTTATCCTTCAATCAGCCTTTTAACATTTTTCTTCTTTTACTTGCCTTTCTTCAGGTAAGCCAGTGAACTTCGACCTCTACCACGATGTCCACGTTGCCGCGGTGATCCTGAAGACATTCCTCAGAGAGCTTCCCGAGCCGCTGCTCACCTTCCGGGTCTACAGCCAGGTTCTGGAGCTCCTGGGTGAGTTCTGGACACTCCGGTTCTGGTCGGTTAAGTTCTGGATGGTCTGGTTCCGGACAGTCCGGTTTCACCATCTCTTCCTGGACCTTCCAGGTGTGGAGAGCAGCCTTCGCGCCACCAGGTGCAAGCAGATTGTAGAAAGTCTTCCTGAACACAACTTCATCGTGCTGAAGTTCCTGCTCTGCTTCCTGAACATGGTGAGTCCGAATCGTCTCGGTTCTGGTTCCCTGGTTTAAGGTCCAACAACAATCAGCATTTATTCCACCTGATTTCCAGAAGGAGTTTCATCTTCAAACACTGAACAAAATGGATGGAAAGTATTTTTGATGCAGGAACAGAAATAATTCTTTAAAAAATTAAAACCAGAGTCAAAGTTCAAGTTTGGGCATAAAAGAAGTTTTACAATTTTTTATCTTAAGTAATAAAAATGGACAGTACAGTTAAATTTATTATTTTTAATTATTTTATTTTATTTGGCCTTTTATTACAAGTTTATTAAAGCCTTTATTTTTTTCTTTAAATTTTGTATTTATATATAATATTTGTAAAAAAAACAAGTTCTAATTTATCTTTCTGTATTTAAATGTTTATTTTTATCAAATTCCTCTAAATTCTCATACCATCCATTTAGTTTATCCTTTGTAGGATTATAGATTTTATTTGTAATTTTTTCTTACTAATTAAACTTTGGTAGGTTAAAGTTGGGTTTTTTTGCTCATTGTTCTCAGAAATTAGTTAACAGATTTAAAAGTCATAAAATTCAGGATGTTTTATAGAATCTGATCACATTTCAAAAGGAATTTGTTTAAAAACGTTATTTCCATTCTAAAAACATGTTTTAGGGAATAAATTAATGTTTTTTGGTGTCTGGAAAACAAGCTGTTTTAAAAACCTTCCAAATATGAAGTCACATTTGACAAGGACTGTGCCATTACTTAGCAACCCCAGTGGAGTTCCGCCCGTTACCTAGCAACCCAAGTTGAGATCTAGGTCATTTGGTCAGCTGGTTTTAAAGCTGTATTTTGTTGTACAATGGCTGCTGGAAGAGGCGAGTGTTTTCTTCTTGACTTGCAATCCAGAAACGACTTACTGCATTCTTGTTGGTTGTGCAGGAGGCTCCACTTATGCTTTTCAGAAATGTGTAACTGCACATCGATGTTGTTTCGGTTTTGCTCCAGGTGTCCCAGGAGAGCCTCAGCAACAAGATGAGCGCCTCCAACCTGGCGTGCGTCTTCGGGGTCAACCTGGTCTGGCCTCGTCACGGCTCCATCTCGCTCAGCGCGCTGACGCCCATCAACATTTTCACAGAGATCCTCGTCGAACACTTTGCGGCCGTGTTCGGCTCCCGCTGCCCACCTGCTCAGGTAACCCCGTGACCCCACAGCAGAGGGAGCCTGAAAGGTCAAGCTGAAGATCTGTTACACTACCAGCACACTAAAAAAACTAGTAGTAATAATAATGCAAATGCAATATGATTTTTTGTTTTATCTTTTGTATAGGATATATTTAACGTGTGAATAAAACCCAAAGTTGTCAAGTAATGCCTGGATTAAAACCGTTTACTGTAAAAAATAAGAAATGAAATGTTTTTGTAAGTGGAATTTATCTTTGATTTTAATAAATTGTGACTTAATGAAGGAAAGAAAATCAGTAAAAATCCTTGTTTAAATTTAATTATATTTAACCCTTTAACAACCAAGTATCAAACAAGCCGGATTAATTTTATTTTAATTTTAAATTGCCAGATATAACAGTGGAACAACAGTTTTTTTAAAGTGAAATATTAAAAAATATGTGAATTTTTAAGACGTAAAGAAGTTTAAAATGGTTTGATAGAAATAGAAAAAAAAATGTTTTGTACATTAACTTTACAATTGTCATTTAATTTAAAATTTGTTTAAAATGTTAAATTTTTTATTAGATCTTTTCATAATTGCTGCAGAATATTTTTCCATCTAATTTTAAATTTTCTAAAAAAAACATTTTCCTTAATGAATTTATTTCTAGTTAACTAAAAATTTTAAATATTTTCTCAAAAAAAAAAACCTTAAGAAATCATTATATTTACTTTTTATTTCATGTAGCATTTGCTGCCAAAATGTATTTACATATTTTATATTTTTCCCTCTAATTCTATACATTATTTTACTTTTTGTTCATACCTATTCTGTTAAACATTTTAGTGAATTTTACCTCAAATGTTCCAGAATCGTTTTCATAAAACACACAAAGCTCTGGGCGTTTTGTTCTTGACTTTGTTTATTAATGATTCCATGTTTTTGTAAGAACTTGGTACAAAAGGTGAGACTACTCTTTAACCATCAATCCTCCGTCCATCAGCGTTTGAATGCATCAGAAAGAAGGAAAAACTACGTTGGCATATTTAAGACAAACACTTCCTATACACACTATCCACCGGACCGCCTCCGCTGACGAACAGAAACTTCTACTTCACCTCCATCTACACAAACTCCTCTGGTTCCTCTTGGCTCCTCGATAAAAGAATATAAAAATGTTTTTTTTTCTTCTTTTTGTTTTGTTCAAATGTTGTGTTGTGTAGTAAAATAGATTTGTTTAAGCACTGCACAGTTTCTCCCGGAGAAGATTCCTAGAAACGGATGGAGGAGGAGCAGGAGGAAAGTGGGATTCTCTTTATTATTCTTTTTTTAAACTGATATGGTTTCCATCTCGGTTTGAACTTTCACCTCTCAGGTGAGGACTTGATATGCATCACATGGCACATTTCAAAATAAAAGCCCTCTTATGTTATAGACTAACTGATGATGATTTATTCTCATGAAGGCAGGTTGGACTCTGAAAGAGCGCCACCATCAGGAAACAAAAGGTAATCTCAGTAAATATTTACTTCCTCAAGTTGCTCTAAAACTTGTCTTACAGGAAATGAAATAAACCTGGTTAAATATTTACTTTAATTGTTCTGAAAGCTGTCTGTTCACCTTTAAGCTGAAAATAATCAAAACATAGTAGAGCTGATGCAATTAAAACATCCAGGCAGCTTCACTTCCAGATTGGCTCAAAATAATGTTTTCTACGATGCCACCATATATTTTATAATTACAGTAATTATAAAATAAATTAAAAAAAATTCTAGGACATTTGATTTGTTTTTTCGGCTTTGCTAATTTTGAACATCACTTTATATTTGTAATTTCTTCTCATTTTTTACATCTTAGTATATTGGAAAACAAAAATGTTTAAAAGGGCCTGTGTAAAGTTAAAACAACCAGAAAAATTAAACAATTTTAACACGTCTGATTGCATTTACTGATTTTTATTCAATGTGGAATTTGCTGCCTAAATTTTTATTTTTTTAAGTGCATAATGAATATTTTTAAAACATTCTTTATTTTTAAGCAAATGTGTATATTTTTTTTTACATTTTATTTTCAGATGTGTTCAGATGTCTCTCCATGTGGTTCAGATATTTGATATAAATTTCTCTAAAAATATTACATTTTTTGAGAACTTAGTAATGTCTAATTTCATTCTTTGATGCAAATAATGACTCGGTATTGTGGTGTAAAAATGAACAAAAAGTGGGTTATACATTTTTATTTTTGCATGCAACTGCTAATTTTCGGTTTATTGTCTTGCTTGCAAATATAAAGTATATATTTTAAATTTCAAACTAAAATTGAAGCTGATTTTGCTTTCAGGTGAAGCTGTAAACGTTGCTTTAAACTGACTTTTTGTTTTTTTCTGCAGCTTAAAGCGGTAAAGGTGAACAGACTTCCAGAGCCCTGCAGCGTCGATCCTTCAGAGACCAAACAGGTGAGCTGGAGATATGATTTTAATCGTCTTTTCTGATAAAAAACAAACAAACTTATTTTTCCTCTCCTTTTTGTTCATGTTTGTGCATCAGAGAGCTGCACCTCCATTGATCGGTGAGTACAGTACCACAACTGAATAATAAAAAACAGAAAACGATGGAAGCGTTGAAGCGGGACGTCTCCGGACGGCAGGAAGACTCGCGACTGTTGTTGCAGCTCGACGGAGACGTCCTGATTCTGCTGCTTTTCTTTTCTCTATTTTATCGTCAATATAAAAAAACTGATACAACAAAGACCAAAACCCTGAAACGATGTGAGGCAGTGTTCATCTTTTGCTCAGAATACACAGAAAATATAAAATGCACACACAAAAAAACGTTTTTGGCATATTTTCCATACTGGTTAAAGAGGGAGGGGCGGAGTGGATGCATCACGTTCGCTGGGGCGAGTTTCTATTTGCCTTTAAGACGTAGAAATAAAAACAAAATTATTTCATGTTCCTTTCCAGAAGCACTTTATGAATTTAAACCATCTACTTCACCATTGAACACAGTGGGCGGGGCTAGAGGAAACCTGCCGTCTGATTGGCTGCTTCAAACCTTCAAACCTTGGTACAACAGAGATCAATATCTTCACCAGAAAGTGCAGGAGTAACTTTAGTAGTATAATTAAATTGCAAACAGTTTGTTTACTGTAAGGTCTGAGTGAGAAACTGCAGCTTTTATATCTAGTTTGGTCTGAAATCTCTCAAATTCAGGAGAGAGTGTTAGCCGGTGTTGGCTAATGCTAATCTAGCCTGACAGAACCAGCGAGTTTATTAATGAATTATTAAAGATATAAATGCTGGAGTTGGTCATCTAGAGTTTGTAGTAAATAAAATGTAACTTAAGTTTATTTCTACACTTTCAGTAAACTTGAAAGAATCCTTGCTGTCTGAAACAGCCAATCAGACGCCAGTTTCTCCCTGAATCCCGCCCACTGAGTTTGTTTGTTCCAGAGTAAAAATAAAATAAATTCTCTGTAGCTCTGATAGCTGGTGATGAATTTTTACCCTCTTTTTGCAGAACTGCTTCAATTTGGAGACTTTAAAGTCAAACTACAAAGTCTGAATTGGATGCAAGTCCAGACTTTGATTAGGCCGCTCCAGAACCTTCATTTATTTTTCTTTTGAGCTGTTCAGACGTTGCACACTTTTAGAAAACGTGCAGTTTAGTCTCTTGACCTCTGACCTTAACAGAGGAAAGTAAAACTGAATTTACCAACAAAAAACACTAATCAGTTAACTGTTTAGTGTTTGAGATGTTTTACACCTTTATTTTAATTCCATTCAGTGGTAAAAAATTTCTTTCTGCGTCTTAAAGAAAAGTTGAACCTGTCCAATCAGAGACTCTGTTTAGATGATGATGATGATGATGAAAGCACGTATGTACAGTGATTCCCCTCAATACTCCAAACATTTATCAACAGGCATCGGCATGAAAATACTAAAATCTGCACTAAAAAGCTAATTTCTGTAGTTTAATCTTAAATATTTTTTTCTTTGACTTTAACTCTATAAATACTGAGAAAATCGTAGTTCTCTGTTTTGTTTGAAGGCTCGTCTGCGTGTGGAAACGTCTTCCTGAAGTCGTATGGCAGGAACTTTGTTCACAGGATGGAAACGAACGTCTACTCAGATAAATCGCTGTACAGCCGCTCGGAAGCTGGATTCTACCGGTTCGTAATAAATACATTAAGGCGAAGAATAAATAGAAAATAACTTAAAAAAATCTCGTTAAGCACTGTAGGTGTTGGGTTTGAAAACACTTCAGAGACGTTGGGTCTAGTTGGCGACGTCGTCCTGACCCGGCTGCAGCGGCGCGGTCGACGGCGCTGCCACCATGGCGGCGGTGCTGATGGGTTTCATCCACAGCTGGGGGAGCGTGGCGATGGTCGTCATGGTGACCTGGACCAGCTGGTCTCGCTGGATGAGCCTGATGAGCGTTTTGATGCGGTCGAGCGACGCCTGAGTGTCGCGCTGCAAACCGAGGAGTCGATCCCTCTGGTCCATGCAGACCTGCAGAGAAATGGGGCGTACGGAGGGCCATTAGGGCCAAAAGTAAGGCAGCAAAACACAAAATATTACCAAGTATTTTTGGTCTGCTTTCTAGAGCAAATATCTGTGTTCTTATTTTAAATGTACTAACTTACAAGTAATATTTCATCTTGTTTTAAGTCAGTAATTCTTTAATATAGATGAAAAATGACTAGTTCCCCTGGCAGATCATTTCATTTATAACATGGGGAAAAAAAAATCTTACAAGTGAAATAATCCTCCAGTGGAAGTAGCACTTTTAACATATTAAGGAATTAACATAAAAAACTCCATTATCTTGCTGTAGAGTTTTGTCTGGTTTTTAGTTTACTGAGTGTGTTCCGTTTGTCGAGGAGTGAATGCAAATCGTCTCCGGACAATTTGCATTCACTCCTCGACAAACTGAACACACTCAAATAATAATAACTGATTATTTTTAGGAAGGTGACAAAAGCAGGAAGTGGACTACAGCGCATTGCTTTCTGGGTAAGTACAACCAAAACAAACTTGCTAGCAGGAAAAATGTTGGTAACACTTTATTTGAAGGGGGGTGAATAAGACTGACATGACACTGTCATAAACATGTCATAACACCTGTCATGAATATGAATGAGCCTTCATGAATATTTATGACTGTTGTCATAAAGCGTCATTCGGTAAATTATGACACTTTTAATACAAAGTTGACATTATTCAAAATGTCTTTGACAATTTGACATTAACCAATAAATCATTACTGTTTAAACTTTACCTTTAATAACAAAGTTACCTAATTTTTAAAGTGCAATTAGTAATTATTTTATAACAAATTTATATCAGTAATGGTTTATTGGTTAATGCCAAGTTGTCATAAAAGTGTCATAATTTACCGAATGACACTTTATGACAAGAGTCATAAATATTCATGAAGGCTTATTCATGTTCATGAGAGTCTGATTCACCCCCCTTCAAATAAAGTGTTACCAAAATGTCTTGCAGGCAAGAGAGAAATCGTACAACTGATAAAATCTGATGCCACTTTATTTTTGTTTATATGTTTGAAGAAAGAAGTTGTGCTCAGTTTCCTGTAGTGGTTAATTGGACAGTAAAATACTAGATTTTCTTTTAAGCCAGGTGAAGCTAAATCTTTACCACTTGAAAAGTTCTAGGTGTATGGGGGAATTTTTCTGCCATAATCCAAGAGCACGCATTTTCAGTCAAAGCAGGATTTCATGTCTTTTGTTGTCAAAACTTTATCTTGCAGAACTCTGCTTGCTTTTGGAACCGCCCTTTGGCAGCGTCTCCTTGCAACCCCTCAGCCAATAGAAAGCGTTGTACTGGGTGTGGGTGTGTGGCTACTATTGATTATTAGCAACCTGTGCCACCCACTGGATGTAGGGCGAAACATCAACTTTCTGCTCCGTAGTTCACTAAACATCCACCAGCAGTGCTACTGATAGCTAACAGCTACTGATCTTAGGTAGGAGTTTAACCCAACCAAAGACAGCATAGATCTGTCTATAAATCTATGTAGATATATTTAGATATGTCGTGACTATGTTGTCTTTGGTCTCTAGAATCTGCTAGAAGGAAACAAATGCACCCAGTACAATACTTTCATTCTATTGGCTGAGAGGTTGACAGGCGACTCTGCCAAAAGGTGTTTTCAAAAGCAAGCGGAGAGCACAAGGAGAAAGTTTTGAGAAGACATGTAATCCTGCTCTCAAATTATGGCAGAAAAATTCCCCCATACAGGTGGAACTTTACAGGCGAAGATCATTTTTGGTCTAGTTTCTAGTGAAAGTATTTGTTACACTTGAAATCAGATAAGAACTAACCTACAGGTAACTTTTCAGCATAAAATAGGAGCTTGTTTTAAGTCAATAATTCCTTGATAAAGTGCCATTTCCCTTGCCAGATTATTTCCCCATGTTATAAATGAAAGAATTTGCCAGTGGAACTATTGACTTAAAACCAGCTCCTATATCTTGCTGGAAAGTTACTTGTAGATTATTTTAACTATGCTAATATTTGCACTAGAAACTAAACCAAAAATGTTCGGTTGGGTTTCGTTTTCTGTTTTTACTTTGAGCGTCTTGTTGAGGTTCTTGTCCTGCTCCTCCAGGTGAGCGCACTCCTTTTTCAAGTCGTTGTTTCGTCTCAGCAGCCGCCGCTTCTCCTCCTGCCTCACTACACACAGACACACTCCATGAGAACCAGAACCCGACTCCCCGCTGTAGAACCACCGAGCGCCGACGCCTCACCCGTCTTGTGCGTCACATAGGACTGGACGAAGTTCTGAGGCCACGACAGGTTCTCCTTGTTCAGTACCTGAAAGCAGAAGTTACAGCGTCACGTTTCCGTGGCCGTTGCTGTGGCGACCTCATCGCAGTTGAACTTACCTTCTTCTGGCACTTGGGGCAGTACCAGGCGCCTCTGGGGGGGCTTTTGATGGGCGGGTGGAGGCAGCTGGGGTGGAAGGCTCGGGGGCAGTTGTGGCAAAGCTGCAGCTCTCCGTCCTCCTTACATACGGCGCAGCGATCGTCATGCTCCAGCTCCTCCTGCAAACACCGAAGAGGTCAGCAGAGGTCGCCGAGCAGTGACATCACGAGTCATGTGACCTGACCTTCCTTCCAGCAGAAATCCTCTGTTAGCGTGTGAATGGAGCAGAGCAGAGGTTAGCGCGTGTTAGAGGAGTTAACGGTGAGAAAGTATCGACACGCTGCGTTTAAATCTTTAAATCTAATGGATAACGACGCAGTTTAATGGAAACTATTAGAAAAAAACTCTGTTTTGGCATCACATGCTCAACAACCAGACGTTAACAGTAGATGAAGGGTGATGGCTCGACGCGTTTTTAATTGCATTTATTATTTAAAACAGAAACGCTGCAAATTCTTAACATTTGCAGTGGAAATGCAGCTTCTTTATGCCGTTTTCATTTCG